GGAAGTTTCCTTCCACACCGGCATCTCTCAGTCCTGCTTTGGGCTCTTTCGGGTCAGCGTGGTCACCTCGCCAGGCCCTGTGTGGCGACTGTGGGGCCCCAGCGGCCTATGGAAATGCTTCTGGCCAGCAGGAGCCTGCCTTCCACCTGCAGGATGCCGAGGCGGCGCTCTCGGAAGCGCCTCTGTGGTGGCAGAGAGCGGCGGGGCGAAGAGGTTCCGCGCTCACGGACACATCCTGCGTCGTGTTGGCAGGGACAGCAGAGGCCGCAGTTTCTCTGAGGGCACACATGCCACTGCCCTCCCACAGCCAGGGCTGTCCCGCTCCAGCACAGCTGCCCGGGGAGACAGCAGGTCCCACCCGTGCAGACCATCTGGGCCTCACTGCAGCAGCCCTGCGGTCACTTCACCCTGACCTTTGGCCCGGCCAGGGGCTGTCCGGATGGAGCGTGGCTCAGCACAGCCGCCATCCTTGGAACTCAGGCCTGCCTGTGCCACCCCGACTCCACACTCACGAGGGCCACACTGCCCCTGGAGCTGCCTGTCCACCCATGGGTCCCTGGCAGGGAGCGGCTGGGCCTCGTGTGTGCAGTGGACATGTGTCCAGGGCAGGCCCCCACCTGCACCCAGTTTCCATTTGTGTCCACGGTTGGGATCAGCTGAGAAGCTCCAGAACAGGGTGACCCGCATCTCAAACGTGTGAAATGGAATTGGCCCCGGGGCTGGTGCTTCTCCTGGAAAATGTGCAGCTGTTCCGTATCTGTACTCTTCAGAAACATGCATTACACATAGGCGCTATGCAGATTTTGTTTCTAACCAAGTCATGATTCTCTGCCCAAGGCCTGGTCGAAGCCAGAGCTTCCCAAGGCCTGGTCGAAGCCAGAGCTTGAGTGTCGCTCCCACCTGAGCTCCGTGGGGAGGGGAGTTCCCAGTCCCCAGCTGTTTACAGGACCCCCGTGGGCGGGGTCCAGGGGCACAGGAGGGGCCGCAGAATCCACAGCCGAGGTGCCGGGATGGGCCTGAAACCCAATCACAGCCAACAGGGAAATTTCACAGAAAATCAGATCCCAGTCACAAGAGGTGCTGTATGATATTTGAAATTAACTGAAAAAACTCTTGAGACTCTGGTGAAGGCCACGGAGACGTTGAGAGTAAGCACACGCTGCACTGAGGGGCAGGTGGCCGAGCTCAGCCACTGGGTCCCGGGGTCCCAGGATCCAGGGTTGGGGCAGGCGGCCGAGCTCAGCCACGGGGTCCCCGGGTCCAGAGTCAGGGGCAGGCGGCCAAGCTCAGCCACGGGGTCCCAGGGTCCAGAGTCAGGGGCAGGCGGCCGAGCCCAGCCACGGGGTCCCAGGGTCCACCAGGGGGTCCCAGGGTCCGTTCAGTTAGGGACGGGTGGCTGAGCTCAGCCACGGGGTCCCAGGGTCTGTTCAGTTAGGGGTGGGTGGCTGAGCTCAGCCACGGGGTCCCAGGGTCCACCACGGGGTCCCAGGGTCTGTTCAGTCAGGAGCAGGTGGCCAAGCTCAGCCACAGGGTCCCAGGGTCCATTCAGTCAGGGGCAGCTGGCCGAGCTCAGCCACGGGGTCCAAGAGTCCAGAGTCAGGGGCAGGTGGCCAAGCTCAGCCATGGGATCCCAAAGTCTGTTCAGTCAGGGGCAGGGGGCTGAGCTCAGCCACAGGGTCCCAGGGTCCGTTCAGTCAGGGGCGGGTGGCCAAGCTCAGCCACGGGGTCCCAGGGTCCGTTCAGTCCACGTGGAATTCATTATCAATTCAGTGCAGTCCCAGATGCAGTGCCCATTTCGGGGGGGGTTTGCAGCCTGATGGGGGGGCTGGGCCTCTGACAACCTGTGGGTTCAGAAGTGGGAACTGTGCCTGCATGCTACAGACAGGGCGGGTGGCAGGGACTGCAGCCACGAGGCTCCAGAGCTGGGGGTTGGTGATAAGTCCACGTGCGTGTGGACTGCTCTTCTGTGTGAGGGTGGGGATGAGCTGCCCCGTGGCCGGTGGTGGGTGGCGGAGACGCAGCCAGCAGACCCCAGGTGGTGCGGGACGTGCTCACTGTGTGGGTGAAGGGCTTCCTTTTGGGGCTAGTGGCACCTGGCCAGTCCCATTCCCAGACCTTCAGAGAGCATGGACAGGCCTGGGAGGCACTGTCAGGGACAGTCATGCTCCACCACAGCCGCCAGCCAAGGCCACAGCCTGAGCACTTGGATGCTCCTCAAGGTGAGAGCGGCCACAGGTTGGTCAAGGTGGAGACGTGGAGAGAGATCCGAGATGGCTGATCACTGGCAGCTCGGGATTGTAGCTCCCAGTGAAAGCGCAGAGAACAAGAGGACTCCACACTTTCAGACGAATTTTTGTTGCTCACGCACCAGGAGATACCCAGCGGAGGAGCCCCACGGGTCGCCAGCGCGACTCTTGTGGCCGGCGAGGCGGTTTTGCTGCTGCCTTGGTGTGGCGGTTCTTGGTGCAGAGTCAGAAAAGCATCATCAATCTTAACGCTGCTGTTTTGGCCGGTGCAGTGGGTTGCTCAGATTTTAGCGCAGGGAATCAACAAGTTGGACGTCCACTCAGAAACCCAACTATAAAGACGGTAATTATAAAGACCACAGATGGATGAATATATAACGAAGGGAAGAAACCAGCCTAAGAAGGCTGAGAACACCCAAAATCAGAACACCTCTCCCTCTACAGGGGATCACAGTTCCTCATCAGCATGGAACAAGGCCTGATGAACGAGTGTGTTCCATTAGCAGAAGCAGGCTTCAGAAGGTGGATGATAAGAAACTTCAGTGAGTTAAAAGAACTTGTTCTAACCCAATGCAAAGAAACTAAGAACTTTGAAAAAAGGTTTGACGAAATGTTAACAAGAATACACAATTTAGCGAGGAATACAAGTGAATTAATGGAGCTGAAAAACACAACACAAGAACTTCATGAACTATGCACAATTTTTAACAGCCGAATCGATCAAGCAGAAGAAAAGATATCAGAGGTCGAAGACCAACTTAATGAAATAAAACGAGAAGACAAGATTAGAGAAAAAAGGATAAAAAGGAACGAGCAAAGTCTCCAAGAAATATGGGACTATGTGAAAAGACCTAATCTACGCTGGATAGGTGTACCTGAATGTGACGAAGAGAATCAATCCAAGCTGGAAAATACGCTTCAGGATATTATTCAGGAAAACTTTCCCAAGCTAGCAAGGCAGGACAATGTTCAACTCCAGGTAATACAGAGAACACCACAAAGATATTCCTCAAGAAGACCAACCTCAAGGCACATAATCGCCAGATTCACCAGGGTTGAAATGAAGGAGAAAATACTGAGGGCAGCCAGAGAGAAAGGTCAGGTTACCCACAAAGGGAAGCCTATCAGACTCACAGCAGATCTCTCAGCAGAAATCCTACAAGCCAGAAGAGAGTGGGGGCCAATATTCAATATCCTTAAAGAAAAGAACTTTCAACCCAGAATTTTACATCCAGCCAAACTAAGCTTCATAAGTGAAGGAAAAATAAAATCTTTTGTGAACAAGCAAGCACTCAGAGACTTCATCACCACCAGGCCTGCTTTACAAGAGCTTCTGAAAGAACCACTACACGTAGAAAGGAACAACTAGTATCAGCCTTTCTAAAAAATACCAAAAAATAAAGAGCATCAACATAATCAAGAACTTACATCAACTAATAGGCAAAACAGCCAGCTAGCATCAAATGGCAGTATTAAATTCACATATATTATTATTAATTCTAAATTTAAATCGACTAAATCCCCCAATCCAAAGACACAGACAGGCAAAAAAAAGCCAAAACCCATCGATATGCTGCATCCAGACCCATCTCACATGCAAGGATACACAAAGACTCAAAACAAAGGGATGGAGAAAGATTCACCAACCAAATGGAGAGCAAAAATAAATAAATAAATAAAAAGCTGGAGTTGCAATTCTTGCCTCTGATAAAATAGACTTTAAAGCAACAAAGATCATAAGAAGCAAAGAAGGATATTACATAATGGTAAAAGGATCAATGCACCAAGAAGAGCTAATGATCCTAAATATATACGCACCCAATACGGGAACACCCAGATACATAAGACTTATAAAGAGACTTAGACTCCCACACAATAATAGTGGGAGACGTCAACATCAATATTAGACAGATCAATGAGACAGAAAATTAACAAGGATATCCAGGATTTGAACTCAGATCCGGAACAAGTAAACTTCATTAACATTTATAGAACTCTCCACTTGAAATATATAAAACATACACTCATCAGTACCACATCACACCTACTCGCAGGTTTCAATGAAATATTGGTTGGCTGCTTGTTTGTTATTTTCTTCCCTCATTTTTTTTTCATGTCTCTATTATTAAGCACAATTATAGGCATACCCATTTTTAGACTGCGTTCTAGCCAGGGCAATAAAGCAGCACCCCCGTTCTCTCTCCCTCTTCCTCTTTCTCTTTCTTCCTCTCTTTCATTTTTTTTTTTATTCTTTTTTTTCTTTCTTTCTCTCTTTCTTCTTTTTTTTTTTCTTAAAAAAAAAAAAAAAAGAGATGTGTGTGCTGCACAGCAGGGCCACCTGCACTTGGAGGCATTTTGGGCTGAGCTGAGCTGAGCCTGGCCGGGTCACGGGGGGAGGAGCCTCCTGGGACCAGATGACACGGGGCGCCATTTTGTTTCCATGTAGGTTTTTGTCATACTTTAAACCATGTTCAGAAATACTGACAAAAACCAAGTCTCGATAGACGATTCCATGCAGTAAAGGAAGGACCGATGTCAAGATTCTGTGGTATAACTAAAATTTAGTCTCACAGAAAAATAAGTTTGATAAAGCACGTAAATTGTGAGTTTGGTTTTACAGAAACTTCCATGTGTATTTATTCCCTGGGAAGCAGCCGTTCTAGGGGTGCTGGGGGACACTCAGCACAGCGGTCCCTTTGGGGCTGAGGATGGCCCCAGCCGGCCGGCTGACCTTCTGCCTTCCTGTCTTCCCAGCTACCCGTACAGTGAGGATGCCCGCCAGGGCGAGCAGTACATGAACACCCGGTGCCCGGCCTGGTGTGACCGCATCCTCATGTCCCCGTCTGCCAAGGAGCTGGTGCTGAGGGTGAGTGCTGGTGACGGGGCTGTGGGGGTGGGGGTACCCGGTTGGGGGGCGGGGAATGCTGCCAGGTTTGGGCCCTGACCTCATCCTGCAGTGAGCTGCACCCCAGCACTGGGTCACCTCCGAACCAGCACTGGGGCTAGGGCAGCAGCAGGCAGAGCCGAGTTCCTGGGTCACGAGGAGCCAGTGTCCTCTGAGTCTGACACATACCCGAGGTCAGCAGGAGCTGTTTTCAAATCGTAGTTCATTGTATCCTTGGAAGTCAACATGCTCTGTGCACACGGGGACTCACAGGCTGTCAACACGGTGGAAATGTCTGAAGTGGCTTCCCTAAGTTGTAAATCAGAGCCAGATTCATTTGGAGGCTAGATAAGTTAAAAATGAATGGGTGACATTTTCAGGAGATGACCTGGGTCTTGGGAAATTTTCAGATTTCCTGTGAATTTTTTTAATAAAGTTTTTATTTTTTATTTATTTATTTATTTTTTTTTTTTTATAAAAAAGGAGATGGGGTCTTGCTTGCTATGTTGGCCAGGCTGCTCCCAAACTCCTGGGCTCCAGCAGTTTGCCCACCTCAGCCTCCCGAAGTGCTAGAACTACAGGCAGGAGCTTCCACACCTGGCCAACCTGTGGTCTTTCAGTCCTACATTTTAACAGACAAGGAGTGTGTTCAGAAGAATCAATATCTTAATTGGTTTTGTCAACCCCGTCAATGAAAGTGAAATGCAGATAATAACAGATCCGTGGGAGTGCGTGGGAACCGCAGCCATGCCCAAACCCAGAGCTGGGGCCTCTGCCTGTGACTTGGGTGGGCAATCGGAAGGAGGCTGCAGACTCTGGCAGCACCACTGCCCGCCTGGTGGGCTCTGCCCCCATCTTCACCATCCCAGGCCCAGAGCAGGGACAGGAGCCCCTTGCTAGCCCCAACCTCAACACCAGCCGTGTGAGGGCCCTGTTGTCCTGCACTGCCCGTCTGCGTCCCTGTGCCAGATGGGACCAGACCCCGGGCACAGCAAGCCACTAGGTACAGGTGCAACCTCAGCAGGCCAGGGACCCCCTGCAGCCCGCTCCCTGAGACGTGCCCTGCTGCCCTGCTGGCCCCCGCCACGTGGCTCCATCCACCAGGCAGGGCTCCTTTCCATTCCTTCCTACGTCCTGGAGCACCCTGGGTGCAGCCTGCATTCAGTCCCTGGCTGCACTGTGAGGAGGGGCCTGCCGGGCGGGAGCCTGGGCTAGAGGCAGGGACCCCCTTGGCCAGAAGCTTGTGGTGTCTGCAGCAAGCTCAGCTCCTCCACAGCTGCACCTCTGGCCTGCGGGCAGGGCCTGTGCCCATCACTGAGGAAAGCATGCTGGCCACCCTATCACAGCTGCTCCCATGCTGTAGGGGGTAGGTACGCCAGCCTGAAAGCCCAGGAGTGGGCCTGGCCCGGAGCCTGGCTGTGGACACGCCCCTGACCCTCTGGCTGTGCTCACTGGTGGGCATTCCCACCTGCCAGTGCTGACAGCAGGTCAGACGTGTGCAGCCCAGGGCTGCCAGCGGGTCAGGAGCCTCCTGGGGAGGCAGGCACAGACGCCATCCCTGGGAAAATGTCTCAGGTCATGAGCAGGGTGATTGGCGGGCAGTGTCCAAGGGCAGAGGCTGGCAGGGCTGTGGCCTTCCCATGCTGTGCTGCCCCGCCAGGGCTCTGCCAGCTCAGAGCAGGGCAGCGTTGTAGCCTGTCTTCCATTTGCTCACAGCCTCTCGGGTTCTTTGGGCTCAGGACTTGACGCTTTATGCTCAGATGGGGGTGGAGCCTCACAGGGCACACCTGGTGGCCTTCGACAGGCCCCGCCCGCGCCGCCTGGAGCCGGAGGTTGGACAGGCTCTCCCCGAGGGGCCACCCAGCAGGCATCAGGCATGCAGGCCAAGCAGACGGGTGCCAGGCGTGCTCCGCAGCCTCATCCATCATGACACGCACTGTCACCTCGTCACCAAGCTCCGTTCTTCCTCCGGATCCCTGAAACACGAAAGGTGGCACGGGGCGCGGGTGGCGCTGCTTGGGAGCCTCCGTGACAAGTGTTCAGTGAGGTGTGCAGCGCTCTGCCTGCGCCTGCCGTAATTTGTTTATCTGTCCAAAGATTATGTAGTTGAAAATCCACAATTTTATGCTGCCTTTGTAAATTACCACGCTGTGTTTGATGAATGTTTCCCCGCTCCGCGGAGCTGCCGCTCTGCCCAGAGAAACCGGGAGGTGCTCGTGCGTGCGGCGTGGAGGCCGTCTTCATCCTTTCTGTCGGGCAACCGTGCTGGAAACTAAGTCTGACCTTCAGCTTCCCACTGCATTAAAGATAATTCAGTTTTAACTCGATAGTCTCAGATGCTCCAGCTGCGGATATAAAATTCCAGCCCAGTGAGAGCAAGGGTGACTGGCAGTAAACCCCTTCCCGAGGCGCCCAGAACACGGGCGCTCGCCGGGAAGTGCGCACATAGCCATTAATGACTGTGCACAGATTGCTGTGTGTACTGGTGTGGAATTCGGTGTCTGTTCTCATTTGAACACTGAGTTCTGGGTTAATAGAACAGTCTAGAGCAAATGTAAGTGGGACAATGGGAAATTAATGAGCTGCTTCCCAGGGGCACAGCTGCAGAGCGCTGAGGATGCACCCACTGCTGTGGACAGGCTCCTACAACTCCCCAGGAGCCCAGGAGCACATCTGGGAGAGGGAACTGGGGAGCAGGGCCAGCACCCGGGGCTCCCCACGCCACCCCTCCTACAGGCGGATACCTCCTGGAGGAAAGGGCCAGGGCCCAGGTGTGGAGGTACTGCCAGGTCACCAGGGCCTTTGGTCCATGGGCCAGCCTCTCTTGGAGCCAGGCAGGGTGGGTGGCAGAGGCTGGGGAGGTATTTGCAGGGGCTGACCCCCACACCTCTCTGCACCCACAAACTCCTAATGTTCCTGCTGGTCAGCTGCCCACTGGACCCAGGGAGCCCCATTTCTCCACACCTACCTGTCTCTTTCCCCTTTCCAGTCGGAGAGCGAGGAGAAGGTTGTCACCTATGACCACATTGGGCCCAACGTCTGCATGGGAGACCACAAGGTGACGTACACAGGTCCAGGGGCGGGGGGAGCGGGGGGGCTGGGGCCAGGGACGGCCACGGGTCCTGGGGACTGGGGCCCGAGGGCAGGTGGGTGGGGGCCGGGGGGCTGGGGCCGGGGACGGCCAGGGGTCCTGGGGACTGGGGCCCAAGAGCAGGCGGGTGGGTGGGTGGGGGCTGGCCAATCTCTCCTCTCTTGCTCTGCGGTCTTCTTTGTCTGACAGTACAGACTAGGCCAGGCTGGTCTGCTTTTATTTGATTTTAATGAAATACCAAAAGCTAGGGGGGCAAGCAGGAAGAAGGCAGAAATGACTAGTTACAGTAGGACACGTAATTTTACTATTTGTAAAGAAATGTTGTTGACAGCTGATTGTTTCTGGAGACTGTTTTGCAAACACGCAGCTGCAGTTTTAATGGCTTTCTTGGGGCAGGCTCACCGTCAGCCGAGGCACAGGGGCGAGGGCACTCCCCGCCGCGTGCTGGGCGGCACTGACACAGAACGTTTACCAGGTGACTGCGCCTCGAGAGTGCTCACATGAGGGTCTGACAGGAGACAGATCAGATCTCATTTTCAGCCCAATTTCATGGGTTAGCTCCTTCCATGTTGGAGGCCTGGAGCTGTGAGCCCCAAACACACCCGGATGAGACGCCGGACCTGCCCGACGCAGCAGAGCCGAGGACAGGAGTGTCTTCCTTCCCCACTTCATTTGGGGCCTATTTAGCCATTCTTTTAGATCAGTTTCTCCATTGATTTTTTAACCTGGAAATAACACCCTCCTTGTAAAACCTCTCATGGCCAGCCCAGCTCCAGTTCCACATTTACAGGGCCCCCACCCCGACCCCTGCTCTGCTGTGGCTGCGCACAAGGACTGAGCTGCCTCTGCAGGCCAGCAGCCCCTCGTGGCCCGGTTCACGGCTGCCCTTGTGAGGCGCAGGGTCCACAGGTGGGACAGGAGGCCAGTGGCCCCTCGTGGCCCGGTTCACGGCTGCCCTTGTGAGGCGCAGGGTCGGGGTGTCACGGGAGGCGGCGTGTACTGGGCTGTCCTGCGTGTGCCTTGCTGACACCCTCCTCTCTTCCTGCTGCAGCCCGTGTTCCTGGCCTTCCGAATCATGCCTGGGGCAGGTAAACCTCACGCCCATGTGCACAAGTGTTGTGTCGTGCAGTGACATGGTGGTAAATATGACTCCTCCCCCTAGTTCAGTTTTTCCACAGCTTTTCCTGGTGCGTTTGTTCCTTTAACAAATTACGAATTCTGTGACAGGGAAGAGATGCCAGCGCCACGAGAGGACCCTTCGTGAGCCCTCCCTGTCGCCGTAACCGAATGCGCACTCTTCAAAGCTGCATCGAGAGCCCACCCGAGCGCCACCTGCTAGACGACCAGCCCACACTTCGCTTCAGCCTCCGGACCGTTCCGGAGCAGCCTCACATACCTCACTGTCGTGTCTGTTCATATGACATTAAGTAGAAACGTTTTTTTTTTTAAATAAGTCACAGTCCTGTTGTCAAAACTCTAATAGACAGCAAAGAGGGTCTATACCATAGACTTCACAGTTTTCAGTTTTTAATGATTGTCGGTGGAGGGGCTTCTCCAGCACGGAGACCCCCGTGTCCAGAGACTCCCTCTGCCAGGTGGAGGTGCGTCCAGGGGCTGGGTAAGCCGAGACGGGCACTCCCTCTGCCGGCCGGCAGTGTGGCCCCGAGCACGCCCGGGAGTCTGTCTCTGCCGATGCCCCTCCCGAGGTGGGCCGTGTCACATGGTTTTTGAATCACACTGCAGCTGCTTTCCATTTTTATATATATAAATATATATAAATATATACTTTTTAAAAATAATTTATAAACCTTACCAAAACGTATGCTCAATGTACTTTCCAGTATGAATGCACAAGAGTCCCATCAGCAGGCAGCGCTGGCGTCTAGGGGCACAGCTGTGTGTCCATCCGCGCAGAAACTTGTAAAGAACACATGGGCTCGCCCCGGGGTGAAACCGGCCCCACGCACGTCTGCCCCGCGGCCCGTTACGCCCATCCGTTCTTCTGTGTAGTATTAACAACTGAATGTGAAGTTTATCGCTAGCCTGGGTGTACCTTTGAAGAATTTTGTAAACCGTTTGTCTGTCTTTTGTTACTGTTTCATGGTGCCAAGTATTCTACATTACAACAATAATATCATGGGAGAAATAGAAATAGCCTAGTTTGCTTCCAATAGAAATTGCTTTTAACATGGGCTGTATATAAAAATATTAAAGAGAACAAACTGTACATTTCCTCCATGCTCCGCTGCAAACAACCCATGTATTAACCTTGTTGCAAATATTTTTCTCCTAGCACTAAGTACAGCATTAAAAGGTGATGAGTCTGTTGATGACACACAATGTATGTTTTATTGATTTTACTTTAGAACACTACAGAGTTCCTGGCCGGTGAGGGCATTTAGTGGATGTTTCTGTCTATCGCTACCATTGCAAGTGATCTGGTGTCCGCGGCTGAATTGTTCCTGGCGGGAGGACTGGGTCTGTCCGTGTCCCTGCTGTGGTCACTGGCTCCGCGGCCACAGTTCCAACACGGAGTCCGCCCCACGGGTGTCAGCTCTTGGTCATTCTGAGGGCCTTTAGAAGTGACTGGTCTGGTTCCTAAGCAATAAAATTGACCATGGTGAAAACAGTCCCGCGTTGCTGTCTCTCTTCCTTTCCCTTCTCCCGCCACCTTTGAAATGCTAACTCACGCCCGCCTGTCCACCCTATTGAGATCGAGCTCATTAGAAACCCTGGAATTTCACTGCATCACTTACTGCCACAAAACACCAAGCCGTCACTTGAGAAAAACAACCTTTTGGACTTTCTACTCTGATGAAGGATTTCTCCCGCAACATTTTTCAAAGGGATTATATAAATGCTTTGCCTTCCTCAGAACTCTGCACTGGAAGCCCCTCTGCTCCGAGCTGAGCTGAGAAAGCATTGCTTCTGCCCTTCAAGCTGCGTCCTTGTAAAGAAACCTGAAAGCTGCCGAGAGCCAAAAACGAAACTCACCAAGTTTAAGCGTTTTACATTTCTCTTTAACGCTTCCAAAAATGCTGTCCGGGAGAAATCGTATCACCGCAAATACTCCATTTGCTTTTAATTTTTAAAAATTAAAAATCAATAGTCACACCCATTGAGATACAGCGATGACCAGCCTCAACCAGAGGCTGCAGGAGGGCGGACGGGCTTTGTCGGCCGGTGCCACGGCCATGCGGAGCTGTCAGCATTTCAGAATAGGAAACGGACCCCCTGAGCCCCCGGCCACGCGCTGCGGGCCTTGCCCAGGGGGCTCCAGCTCCGTTGGCACCTCGTGAACCCTGGAGGCCCCGCCGCTCCGCGGGCAGAATTAGTTCAGGTTTCTCTGCGGTCCGAGTTTGAAAGAAACTGCTTTCACCGCTAAAAAATCCAGCAGGAGGTGGCGGAATGGCCTCGCTGCTGCAGTGGAGACTCGATTCCCCAGCTGAGTGGAATCGCACCAGGGCGGCAGGTGCGATGCCAGCCACGGGGTAGGGGGACTTTTAAAATCCTAAGGGCAAAGCGCCTCCGCCGAGCGGGTGTCCAGCGGCAACCAGGACTTGGCCCCGAAGCGGGAAAAGCAAAGAAAACCATCCTGCGGGTACTCGGGCAGACTGCGGCTTACCCGCCCGACCCCCGACCCCGGGACCCCAGGACCCCGCCAGCACCCGTGAATCCACCCGAGCCGTACCTGCTGCGGGGCGCGCCCTCCGTCCCCGGCTCCGTGGCGCTGGCTCCCGGAGGCTGTCGCTGGTTCCTCCCCGCAGGCCGGGCCCTTCCCTGCCCCGCGCGCCGCCTTCACGGCTCCTCGCCCGGGCCGGGGGCCCGCAGCCTCTGCACGGGGAACTCGAGGCCGCCGCGCGCCCGAAGGAAGCCCGGGTCCCGCAGGGGCGAAGCCGGGGCCGCGGAGCTCCAGGTCCGAGACGAAGAAACACGCGGGGCAGGCTCCGGAGCCGCGGCTCCAGCGGGGACCAGTTAAATAATTTATTGATGATACAAAGCGACTCGGCCCCGACACACCGCCCGCGCCCCGCGCCCCCCCGGGGACGCCGCCGCCTTCTGCAAAAATAAACTCGCCCCCGCCCCGCGCGTCCTCACAAGGCGTCCCCCGCGCCGCCGCCGCACGGGCTGACCAGCGCCAAGTTCGAGGGTTTGTGCTTCTTGAGCAACCGCGAGATTTTCTCGTCGTCCGAGTTGGGGTCCAGAGGCCGGTTGTATTCGTCGTCGTCCTCCGCGTCCGAGCCGCCCACCTTCAGCTTCTCTGCGTCCGAGTCCTGCTTCTTCTTGGCCGACGCCATCTCCGCCGCGTGCCGCTTGCGCCACTTGGTCCGGCGGTTCTGGAACCACACCTGGGGGCGGACGGGGCGGGCGGGGCGGTCAGGCGGCCGCGGGGCAGCGGCGCCCGGGGCTGGGGACGTTCGCAGGACGCGGGCTCCGCTTTCCCGGCCCGGCCGCGCTCACCTTCACCTGGCTCTCGGTCATGCCCAGCGAGTAGGCGAGACGCGCGCGCTCAGGGCCCGCCAGGTACTTGGTCTGCTCGAAGGTTTTCTCCAGCGCGAAGATCTGCTGGCCCGAGAAGGTCGGACGCGAGTGCTTCTTCTTCCCGTCCTTGTCCAGGACCCCGCCGGCCGGGGCTGCAGCGGAGGGAGGGGAGTGCAGGGGACCGGACAGGAGGGAGTCAGCGGCCGGCGGCTCCGCGCGCACCCGCCCCCTCGCCCCCCGCACCCCCGCGCCCACCACTCACCTGGGCCGGCCAGACGCGGGTCTCTCCAGGGTGCGCCCTGCACCACGCCGGGCCAGAAGATGGGCGGGCGCCCGGGCAGCTCGGCCAGGGGCTTGGGGTAGCCGCGCGCCACGGCGGCCGCGGGCCCGAAGTAGACGCCGGCGGACGAGGCGAGCCCGTTGAGTCGGGGCAGGCCGCCCAGGAGGCCTCCGCCCGCCGCGCTCACCGGCCGGCCCAGGATGTCGCTGATGCCGTGCGGGGTCCCAAGCGGGAGCTGCGCGCCCAGACTGCCCAGCGCCGGCGCCTTGAAACCGGCCGGGCCCTGCAGCGCGTAGGGGAACAGCGACGTCTTCATCTCGGCCATGTTGTGCAGCGCGGCCAGCGGGGCACTGCTCAGCACGAACGCGCCCGGGCGGTTAGCGTCCATGGGCGCCGCCGCCGCCGGCCCGGGCT